TTGGGAAACTCCGCCTAACCCCACTGCTTGAATGGAACAATGGAGAGAGGTGGTTGTATGCCCTCCCTCTGCCTGAGGTGTTTGTATATGGAGCACACCCTTCCTCAATAGACAGTCTCAGATGACAGTCCTGTCCAACGAATCGAGGGCGGCCCTAATGTCACTATGGTTGTTGGCTTGTGATGAGTATGACGGTGTTCTAACATTTGGTGAGGTGTGAAGATACGATCAATACATCCTCAACTAGAATGGAAGCCAGTCTGCTCCTCACCAGTCAATCTTTCTCGGATTTTGAACAATCTACGAAGTATGACGTAAGCCAATACTTTAGACGCATTCGGAAGTGGAATTGTCCTCCGATAGTTGTTGCATAGATGACGTGAACCTTGATTTTTAAAAAATAGGAACAACTATCGACTGAGTCCACGATGTTGGAACACTCTAACTACCATGTCTTTGTAAATAGCTCCGTCAGTTTCTTAACGAGAAGGTCGCCACCATCTTTAAAAGGGACTGGAGGTAAGTCATCTGAACCTGACGATCTGTTGCGTTTCAAGAGTTGGGGATCTATAAAGACTTCTATCTCGTCTGCACAGGCCATGGAGGTCAAGGCAGTTCGATCGATGTTTCTGGACCAGTAGACCAGTTGAACTGCCCCTCTAAAAACTTTACCATTGTCCAGAACGTCGGTAGATATTAGTGATCAGCATCCCGTCAGCTTCACAGATTGTTTAATACACCTGACCTCTTACTGCCAGTGTCTTGCGTCAATTGAAAGAGCTTTCGGGGGTCACAGGATGCGGCTGTTGTTTCCAACTCGTTAACATGCCCTGACCACTAGGCTTCTCGATCCTTACGCAATCTGTCCAATTTAATTACGTAAGTCTTCATTTGTGGTCAAACTCGCAGTCACTCGGAGTAAACTGACGAGCTTCAATGAGTTGTAAGGAGCCTGAAGAAACTCAGTACTTATAACAGAAACAGGTTTTAGTTTGCTCAAAATTGCAGTAGTCAGTCATCGTTATCTGACCTACGACCAACAAGTTCCTATCGGCCACCTGAACGACTCACTTCTGTGCCTAGACGCCCAACCAGTGCGTTCAAGTCTCTGGCTAGTACTACAATATCTGTCAAACTCACTTCCTGTAAACGAACAGTTAACTGGTGATAAAACGCATCCTTGATAGAATCCGGGCTACAATCTGTCGGAGCATAAGTGGAGATGACGAAAAGACATTGTTTCTCACACCGACGTCTTCGTAATTTGATGGAACTTTCTAATCTAACAGCACATAACGGACTGGTAATTGGGATCCAGTCGGTCAGTAATGCCTTAGCTCTAGTGCTTAGTGAGACACCAACTTCAGTAATACTAGACAAAGATGCCACAGGATCGCAGGATGAACGCACGTGAAACCAGCTTTTCGAAGAGACAGATGGAGAGCGAATTTGTAGTACTTCACTACAGTCTTAAATAGACAACAGACATCGATGTTGAGACTTTCTAAGGAAGTAGCCAACCCTATCTGTTATTCGATCTGCATTAGTGTGAGAGCGTTGAAGGAAGCCAATTTGAATTGTATATATGGTTTTAGAAAGACTGTTTCAGTATTCGTATTCGGTAATAGCATCCAACTTTCGACCAGTCAGTGACTCGGAGTCGTTTAGATGGGACAGGGTTTCCACCATAGGCGAGATTCTGTATAAGCCAAAAAATAAAGTACGCAAAATGAGAATAACGGGGAATACATGAGCAACGTAAGTGACGTAGTATAAAAGAAATGAAAAACGAACGTTATCATATGATTGTGAATAAGATTTTTCTGAGCGAGCGTCAAAGCAAGAGAAATTTTTCCAGTCATAGTTATCATTGATTTGTATTTGAGCTGTGATATTGCCCGGGTGCCCAACTAAAGCAAGTGGTTTTTTATGGGGCCACACCCGGAGCCTTTGACCTAAATTTCTAACTCACAAGGCATTGGAGCAACGCAAGGCGATGCTGTTGCATGGTAGCCGGTGACTAATAATTGGTTCATACGCCATTTGTTCCCTCAAGATACTGGAGCCCATGTGTACCATTGGTTTGGAATCAGGTTTTTTTAACTCCTCTAGGTGAACACTTGATGTCCACCAACCTTGTTAAGGCGCCGGGAATTCGCTTTTCGTCCTCTCGATTTCGTGAACAATACCCATGCCGCGAAGTAGTGAGTAGAACTTACCTGGTAGTGGCTTTATACGCGTGGCCATGTGAGAGTATTTCGAGAGGGAGAGTAGACTCACCCGACCCTCAATCATATCAGGGCATTTGGGGGCAAAATATGAATAATTTAATGACATATCTGTGGACAAATTTCTTAAATAATGAGTCGTCAAACGAAAACCATGTTGAATTATATTGGCATCTATCGCTTCAACTTATTTTAAGGTTGAGTAATATTTGCACACTCAAAGTCATTTTTTTCACCATTAAGAGCTCGGTTAAATATCCACTTATTTGTCTCATAATATAAGCTTATCGATGAGTTGGGTTTCCTTGCCAAACAATTATCTAACAACCATTGGAAACTGTGGAGTTAAAGGGTGGTGAAAATTTCATACTGACAGTCAAAGGCGACGAAACTGCACATTATACATTTGGAGTTAGACAAAGGTTATGTCCGTTGACTACCAAATATCAAAAAGCGAATCTCATACTGACTGAGAGTTAGAATACCTGTTTGAAGAGAGCCATATTTCTCAACATATCCAAAATTCAAACAGCCAAACGAATCTTTATCGTTAATGGGTTAAGAAATCAGCCTGACGGCTTGTTGTAAAAGAAATTGTGGTATTTATACTAACTGACGATTCCTTCGTACTTGACTGTGCGCTTATTACGAATTCCAAATATAATACGTTCATTTATGCTCATCTGGGTCTATCAGCCTTAAATAGCACTATTTTGGAAATTCTTGGTTAATACATTAATTCGAATACTTCTAATTATCATAGTAATTCCATGCACAACGCGTCTCATTCTCATTATCTTAGTTATTGATATTGATAAAATATCATAACAAAATGAAGATATAGTGGTTTCCATCACAGTACTAAGAATATGTTTTTCATTCTAGTGGAAAATATTTCTCATTATTAGTGTCATATGAGCGAAAATTAGGAATGAAAAGTAAACGGCAAGAAACGTTCATCTACTTTACTCGGGACTTATAGCTCCTGATACATATGTTAAACATCACCTGGCTTTATCCCACAGAATATTCCCAGTGAAGACTAGCACGTGGTAAGCGATGCACATGGTTAAGTTTAAGCATTCTGTGTAATAAAATGTCTACACATTAGTATAGTTCGTATTCATGCTTATAAAAATTAAACATATTTGTGAATGCTAAAAAAAACCTCGCTTCGTCAGTTTTGGAATGATTAATAACTTTTATTGGTTAAAAATCCAGTTTCCATCATTGATATTTCAGCTACTTACCAACTACCATTCTGGTTACTTTACACCCACAATAGGGACATGTATGTAAGGTTTTTCGGTTCACATCCCTTTGGCATCTTAGCTGCTTGAGCTAAGATAATGTATATTATGTTAGACAAGTGTGTATAGTTAAGACACTTTGTAGGTGTCCAAACCTGAATAATAGTAATTGATTTTTAGAGGTAGCTTTTTCTTCCATGTTTGCAGACAAATGTTTAATTGGAGTGAATATCTGGTTATGAGTCTTTCTGTTATATATACGGAGTAAGAAAAAAGAGAGTAACTATAGAGTTCAGTAAATGTAATAATGATCTTTAAAATATTCATTTAGATAGATGAATTTATCGTTCAATTTAGTATAAAGGACTTTTTATAGCATAATCTTTGAATAATACGGATCAACATACAAGTTTCTTTCAAACAGAACGTGCAATATAAGCTAAGCTAGATGTTTGTAGTAATCATTTGGTTTACATTGTTATCTTCGGAGATACACAAAAATATCTACTCAGTAGATTTAGAAATTATTTAGAAATATGCTGCCCCGTTTAACAGGTAATCTGCTACATCCTTAATCTGTCTACCCACTAATATACTGGAGAGAATTTGTCACCAGGCCTTGACACGACAGGCTGTCTATCTAGTTCAAACTTGAACCTATCATTGTGGGAATCCAACTTATGACTAGACGGCCTTGGGGGAAGAGAGACGAAGATCATTCTACCGGCTGATTGGTCAACAGTAATTTTGGAATAATAAAGATCATGGCAGTGAATCACGCATCAGACGAAAGATTATGGTTTATAGAACAAACGAAGGGGCAAATGTTAGGTTTTTACAGACTTTGAATTAAGTGAAGCGGTGTTCTCAAAAATAGTTTCCGTTGTTCGTCATGGCTTTTCTTCCAAAATGTAGAAAGATGCTCCTGTCACATACGTATACAAATCGAAACAAAAATAAAATTTGGCTTTTATTTACCTCATCACTAGCGTACCTAGAAGTTCTTCCATTACTTGTTAAAAGCAGACAATCGACCAACAAAGTTGAGTGTAAGCATTAATGCAGACACATATTGTAAGTAGATTTTTGCTAGTAATTTTCAGATAACTTGCTTCTTTATTTTCGTCACTTGATAATTTAATAATATAGACCCCCGAGAGTAAAGTAAGTGTTGGTAAACTAACATTTTGTTTAATGTAAATGCATTAGAATTCCCTCTAGAAGTCATTTTTGAAACAAATTGATGATTAACAGTTACATTTTTTACTGATCGCCTCAACTTCTATCCTGTTCTTTTATTTTGTAGAAAAGTAATAGAGAATATTTCTTTAGTTGAATAGGTTATCTACTTGTAATAAACAGAAAAGGACAGAGGCTGTAGAAAGTGAACAGAAATATTTCATTTATGTAAAATAGAGTTCACAAAAATGTACAGTAGTGGAGTTGATTCCAAATAAAATTTGTAAGTTATAAGTAACTGTTTATTTGAACTAATCATAAAGTAGTATATTCTACATAACTGATGCAACACCGTAATGATTTAATCCGGTAAGCTACTCAAAATAATATTTACTTCCTTAAATATAGAAAATCAGCACTTATGTTTATATCTCATGTGAGTTTCAGCCCATGATATTTATAGTTTACTGAAATTCCATCCTAAACAATAAGTTTGGCCAAACAACTGAGAACTATCTATTGAAACTGATGCTCCTGCACTTTTAAACAAAGACGTTGGTCAATAATCCAGTTACAAAAGATGTGGAATAACTGATTATGTAAAAATGAAACAAGAAATAGAACCACAATACTGCAATTACTTTCGCTTTCATCAAACTTAAGTAAAGTATTATTTACGTCACTTTAGTGATTTAAATGAGTCATTATACCAAACACATATGATAGTAAACAATTAGCGTGAATATAATTTCACTTTATGTAAACACCAATAAAAGATAGTCACGTTTAGAGTATGTGTGAGCTATAAATACGAGTTGTCTATCTTCATGTATAAAATTCACACAATTCCTCTTTATTTTTCAAGAAGAAAACGTGTGCAAAAATGGATCGTCAGCTGACGTATGTTGAAATGTTTTTTTTTAAAAATTAATAACTGTTCTGTTAGTGTTGGTGTAATACAAAGTTGTTTACACTCATTTATATGAATGTTTGAGTAATCTAATTCGATGATGTAAACCAAATGTTGTTTATCTGCAACCTCAAATGATCTAACCTTAAGTTAAAAATACAAAGTTCAGCGAAGGAATCTTTTTACAACGAATTGATTATCAAGCTGTACAGTCGTACAACCTTAAGTTGTTTTGTTTTTAAAATTGTTTTCTATTATGACTATTAATTAACTTGATTTTCACTTAATTCACTTCATATCCATAAAATAACTTTAAGTTTCTTAGAACAGTTGTTAAGCCTTAGCGATCTTTGATAACCGTGTGCATATTGAATTTTTGAGATTAACAGAAGGTAGGAGGATTTAGTGACAAAATATAGCTAAACTATTGAGTTATCACTAATTTTTTATCTAATTGTGTTACAGAGTTAAATTGCTTCATCATATATCATTCTTATAAATTTTCTCAAATGTAGGATATTAACGATTGTGCTAATTTACTTTATATTTACGCATCTAAAAAAAGGAAAATATATGGAAAACCGACTCTTAATTAACAGTCTATTTTCTCCACCCTTATTTTTTATAACTATTACTACAGAACATTATTTTTGAATGGTTATACTGAAACATCATTTTTCTAACTGGATCACATAATTAAGTGATAAAAGATGCTTTTGTTCCATAGTCCTTAGTTTGTATAAGCCATAATTTTGATTTCCTATTTATTATTTTTTTATTCTGGCTATATGTTTACATATTGAACATTTCAACATAATAATGTTTGAATATGGTTTCAACTAGTTTTGTCCATCGTTCCAGAGTTCCTATTTTCTTAGATTATTTTAAAAGATAATCGTTATGGAAAATACCCTTGTCCCATTTAAGGCATTCTTATTAATCTTTTAAATTTAAATGATTAAATGGATTTGTTATTTTTAGTTGAATTTTACTAGATAAAAGGTTAATTGGTTGAGATAAGTTAAAATACATTTCTACAATTCAGTTAATCTTAGAAGTACATTTCGAATAAAAGGATGCATGTAATTTGTGAAGTAAATAACATGAGCTGATAGCAAAATGTAGGTTCACGATTTTATTGTATGAACACAAATCTTGAATATAGTGGCAGTGATTGGTAATTAATATCAAACTTATAGCTGGTTAGCTGTACATGAAAAGAGCTACTGTTGTTTATTTTATAACTGGAAAATAAAAAATTTATAGATAAATCTTCTGATAGGAAATTTTCATCTTTAGCAATATTTTGTTGCAAATCAAAAAATGATAAATATCTGTCTTAATTTAATTTCTAAAAAGATAGGTTTGCAAGAAATTCTTTGATATATTGATATAACTTGGGTTTCATGGGATAAACGACAGCGATTTGAATAATTAGAATGAGAACACTTCTTATAAATAATGTAGTTTGTCTGACTCGAAACAGATGAGAATCAATGCATTGAAATGTTATTCACTATAAACCTCTTACATATATGTCAGTTCTACAATGGGAGAAACGACATTGGGAGAATACAAATGTTTGATCAATAATAGTCTTTCGGCACACCACAAATCATTTCGTCATAAGAGATTTACAATTATAGTTGTAGAAATTTCCTAAAGAAGTCCAACTAAATTATTTCAAATACTCTTTAACAACAACTAAGCGCTTAAATACAAGCATTATACTTTAAAACACATAGTAGTAGTTAATAAGTCAGTTATTCTAGTAGACATTGTGTATACATAATGACGACATGTATCATGTTGTTTACATATAGAGACGTAAACTTTTATGAAGAGTAAAGTATTTCGTTTACTTTTAGTTATATTGCCATTTATTCTAAACAGAATTATTTTGATTCGTCACAAACGTTTTTATATGTTGTAATATATAGTGGAGAATATTTAACTTCAGTTTTGTCTCTTTATTATATATACAGAGAACAAGAAATACGCACTATGTTTGACCACATGGATAAGAATCACAACGGATACGTGACTGCTAAAGAACTAAGATATTATTTAAAAGTACACGATGCGAGAGTCACAAATAAAGAAGTCAAAGACTTCATTCGTAAGATTGACGAAAGTGGAGATGGTCAATTAAGTTTGCATGAATTTATGAAAGCATTTTCACCACAAAGAAGATCCTGTACTACAGACTTCAGGACAATACGAAGATGAATATTTGGTTGTCGTCTAATTTCAAATATTTAATCAACAATTTTATAGATTTACTAAAATTATTAAACGAAAATGCCTTTAGTATTAACGTAATAATAAATTCGTTTCGTCAAAATATTTTGGCTTTTCAAACAAAACAAAACATTTTTTGGCTCACTTATGTTGTACTATCTTGTTAGTTCAATCTAGGAGACTAGTGTTATAGATCAAAAACATAGTTTGCACCCAACTTGAATAAGGATATTTCGTCTGTATAAATGAAGAATAACCTATTTTTAAAATTATATATCGAAAATAATAATTAATTACAACACTTGGAACATTTCAAACTACATTCAAGAACTATGCATGATTAATATATCAAAATGTAATGAATTTGGTATTTATGTCATCTAACTATTGTCAAATATTGATTGTTCTCGTATCATTTAGGCGTTAAAGCTAGTTGTCTCAAATTCAAGCAAAGAAATTTCCCAGCTGTAATATTCAGATCACTGTGTTCTGTTAGTTAAATGTTAATATTTTGTAAGTAGCGTATAATAAATCGTTGCAACGTCGAACTGGTTCGCTTACAATATCAAACTTATGAGGCTTTAAATTATCTAGTGCACTGTACAATGAAATATTAAATCCACGCATTAAGAACCGAAATAAGAGAGTTGTCGTTTTACAAATTGACGTAGTGTGATTTAGTGGTTAAGTTATTCATGAGTTTCATTGATTGTATTAGATTAATCAAACTGACAAAGATTTTTACATCGAATTAAGAATAAGTGAGTATATCTTGTTTGTTATATAATTACATTAGATACTATCAAACTTCTGCAGTAGTGCGTCATATATGTGATAAAATAAGACATTCATCGAATGTTCTAGAAATATCATCGTTCACTAGCAAGCATTCACCTATATTACAATTAAGATGTTATATGGAGAATAGTTTTACTAGTAGTTGGATTTTGTCATGGTCTAACACCAGAGAGGATGATTGTCGTACAGTAATGAGAATTGATTGAAGTTGTAAACACAAGCCATTGGATTCTAACTCATTAGTCTAAAGTTTAAACATTTGCCATGTGACAAAATGCCTTTAGGTTTAATCCATAGTTGGGTTGCGATTCCACTGCTGCGGAGTTCATAGGACGACAGAATAGCGGTGTTCACTGTAACCCGAACAGATGTCAGTTAGTAATGCAAATCACCTACAGATTATAATTTTTGTTCTAAAAAAGGTCTCATGTTTCACCAGTATTGTGATTACATCATGCAAAATCACATTTTCTCTTTATTCATTTCTTATCGAGATTTTAAATTATCTTTTGAATAAAAATCCATTAAGTAAACTAATTTATGTACTGAGATTTTTAGAAATTAGATAAAGAGTACAATTTATACAAGCCCACTCGTCACTCAGCTGGTTGAACTGGTGTATAAATAGTTAGTTAACAGTGATTAGAAATAATAGTATTATGGGTGCTTTCAACTTAATACAAGGCAATGAACAATCTTTTCTCAAGTCCAATGTCGTATGTTTTGACGTTTACTTATTTTTATTTTATTTCCTCTGCGATTGTTATTTACGCATTTGAAATCACTTTCTGAAGTTAACATTGATGTGAAACACTAGATATGTCACAATCCTTACTTTCAATATGGACCACAAATTGTATGCTAACATAATTCTATTTAAATATAGATATCGTCAATTAGATTAGCAATTGTAGAGGTTTTAATAACATAAGGAATAATTTAAATGTATAAGTTATCTTATCTTTACCATTGAATATCTATTCGTTAGTTGAGCCATGAATCGTTTCGGAACTGAAAAAACTTAAACAACCTTTCTTGTTTTGTTTCTCTGGACGGTACATAAAACAACTTACCTCTTGAAACAGTATCCAAGACTACTTTGATCAAACTTGTTTACCGAGAAGAGTAATTATCTCATATCTGCTTTGGCCTGATAAACAGCTGACTATGCTACCCTTTTTCCATTTAAAAATGATCAGTCTATTAAAGAGAGACTGTATAGTTTTCGCTAACTTCTAATAATATTGTGCGGAGGGATATTGAGTAAATACAAGCTGATTCACTTCACAACGAGGAACATCTATTTGAGCCAAATGAATGATGATTAAGTTAGATGTTTCTGAGTGCGTCGTCTGCACTCACAGTGCGCAACGTACTAAAAGCTAAGGTGACAAGTGTCTACAGATAAGTGAACTGAATACGCTTACGTTACGTATCCAAAACTATTTTCACGCGTTCCCAGGTCAATGTAATGATTAAATTAGCGCAATACATTTCGTGCATTCTGATTACTCATTAACTCAAGACATTATAAAAAATAAAGGTCAAAGTAGGCAAATGAGAACATAGGGAAAAAATATAAACAAGAACAGTATAAATCACACCACTCTGAAATCAAGTGATACTAACGGGTTAGGTTTAATAAATATACAACTTACTGGGGGATACACAAAAAGACTTGAAGTTTTTCATGCATACGGTTTCAATGAATGTGAGTTTTCAACCTAGACCACATCTATAATATAAAGGGTGAGTTAAGATTATTTATATGATCCGTCTCAACTACATGCTTTTCAAAAGCATGTGATGAGTATTTATCATATTCGATAACTAGGTCATTGGAATTTTTGTGTTTTCGATCCTTTTTATGTAAGTTTTCAGCCACCATTACTTTCAAGTTCACTGAGGTTATCTGAGCGTGATTTTGTAACGCATCCGATGCTTGTTGTTTGTCAAGAAGGACTCTAAAAATCATACTTCAGTGCTTCCTACCATCTTTTGCTATTTTCATTACTAACAACTTACAGTTTTATCTTCCCAAGGCTGGACTAAGACATTATCTACTGAACAAAAATTCTAATTGCAAATCAATTTGTTATCGATATTTTTTGATCGTTTCATCCAATTACGTAGTTTAAGTGATTTTTTTTCTGATCTTTCTTTTTAGAATTGGTGACATTGGTGAGTTATTCGGAAAACTTGATAAGAATCATAATGGTCTTGTATCACAAAGAGAAATAAAGGCTTATCTGAGGTCAAATTCTACTAAATATAACACTAAGGAGGTTAGGGAATTCGTTAAGAAAATTGATGACAACTCGGACGGTCAAATTAGTTTGGAAGAACTAACTAAAGCTTTATCAGGAAATTTAGATATTTCCAAAGTTTGTTATCTAAAGCCGCGATAAATAATACGAAGTCTTACATACATAAAATCCAGATTTTTAATTACGTTTTTAAAAAAAATCTGTTATCCACTTAATATAACATATACAGACATGTTTAATATATTCTTTTGTTTTCTTCAAGAAGTGATGGGTTTAAGCGTTTTATTACACAATATACAGAGGATAACATTCAAAAAGTTTCAAAGTATTACTTAGACAAATTATAATTTTATCGTGTAGAAAGATGAGATATATTCATGTTCTCGAAATAATAGAAGAAACAATCCATAGTCCTAGACCTATCAAAGTTTCTAGTTTAGGACATTTCTTGTTCCTTAGAAATACTTTATTAGAATCTGTTATTAGTTAGTCGATGCATCAAGAAACTTTGGGCTGCTCAATAACATGAATATCACTTTCATTGCATCTATCTGAGCATAGTTACTATGTTGCAATTGTATATGCTAAAAGTTTTCCTAAGCCCGCAAATAAAGAGATTCTGTTTGAATTTTTGACAAATAAGCAAATAAGTTTCCACCTTTGATCGTCTGTTTGAATCAGATATACGACTTGAGCTTTGTTTGATCACATTTAAGCTTGAAGACAAGCCAAGAAATATCTATTCATTCAAAGTGGCGTTAATGCTATTGAATGTCTTTGAAACACGGATCACGTTATTAATAAGTTGAGAGCGACGAGTGTGTTTTCATGGAGTAAGCCAAGTTGACTTTATTTCCCGAGTTTCCCACCCAAAACCCAGTTATTTCTGATACCCAGTAATCACTGCATATATCTCTTAGATTTCTCATTGTAGTCGTAGCAGAACGTTTGTGAGGACAAATCAGTTTATGAGATTTACCCATAACAGTTATATGGATTAGAAATCGAATATATATATATATTAGAAACACACTAATATATACTTATTAGTTATAAATGGATTCTAGCTTTCCAGTTAGGAGAGTGACTATCAAGAGAGCGGATGAAAAAAGATGCGGATAAAAATGACGCACGTTAACAAAGACTGGCATTAATATGTGAGACTTTCAAAAGGACGCATATTAATAAGGGTATTCAGTGCAAAAGGGTGTTACGCCCTTGATCTGTCTACCCAATAATATAAAAAAGAGAACTTGCATCGATCTAGATTGAGTCCTTGATCGATGGGCTAACTGGTTTAACCTTGAGGCTAGAAATGAGTAAGTTCGAATTGAGACTAACTGCTTGGGTAGAGAGAGACGAAAACTGTTCTATCATCTAGTTGGTTGACATATGAGAAAGAGAAGACTCGTTAAGTGGATTATTTAAATTGGTATCATGAATGGATGAATGTCAGACCACCATTGAAAACCTGGGAGCCCTGGACGGCTGTCTTTTCGTAGCATAGGACTCCTCAACAGTGCGCATCCACGATCCCTCTCGCGGGATTCAAACCCGGGACCCTTAGACTCGTAAGCTCACTAATGACTGGCTTCAAAATTAATTTATTGAAGTTCTAGTGAAAAGCTGTGACCAGTGGAGTTCAATCGTGCCTTTTGTGAAGACAATGGTGAACGGTCGCGTAATATCGTGGATTGGTTCAAGTTAGAAATTAACACTATTGAATGCCGGCTCAGTGGTCTAGAAATTAAGCGTTCTTGCGCGAGACCGAGGGATCGTGGACGCGCACGGCTGAGGAGTCCCGTAATAGAGTAAAACACCCGACCAGTCCTCCCAGATTTTCAATGGTGATCTAGCTTAGATCGACTCGTGAATTCAACTGTGAAAATAATACACTCTCCACTTGAACCTTCATTTAACTGA